AGAGAGAGAGAGAGAGAGAGAGAGAGAGAGTCACAGTGCATAAACACACAGTTATACAGTTATACACAGAGAGACATACATATGTACACACATATATACATGTGTGTGTGCATAACTGTGTATAATTCTGTGTGTGTGTATGCACCATGGCACACACACAAACACATACTATTATATCAAATTTGTGGGGGAGGAAAACAAAAAGCTGAGGTGTGAGATGAAGAGTGTTAGAAAATGCTCAATAAAGAACATCAAAACAGATACAGTTGTGTAGAAGCCTAAGAAGTTTCAAGAGTGAAACTGGCTTGTTGCTGAATTCTTGAAAAACTGGCACACAAGTTACCTCTAGAAACAAAGTTCTTTGCATACCTGACTGTTGGCCACTTCTGTTTGGGCCTGATGGGAGCTGTAGTCCAAAATATCAGGAATGTACCAGATTGGGGAGGGTCGTTGAACATTTTCCATCTGGTTGCTCTGCAGAGGTTGAGAACCACTCAGCCTTTGTGGTTCCCAGATGTGGATATGTGCCTTCAAGTAGTCAGCACACAGAACAGTTGCATTGAATTGATAAGGAAGGCTGAAGCTGGACACCACACTGGCAGTTGCAGCTGTTGTTGGAATTGCATGGACAACAAGAGACCTCTGGCTGGCTGCGACTGAAAACAGGATTTTAAACTGAGTCTGGCTGTGAGTTCACGTTTCTGAAGGATGGGCAAACATTAGTATTAATTAGAGAGTGTTAGAGTAACATGCATTTCCGTGAAGAGTAAAAGTATATATTCTGGATATTTATGACTCCCGTCCTTTGCATAAGAATAATAATTTGTACTCACACAACCTTATAATGTAGGTTGACCTCATAGATCCTTGTCTGTCTATTGACATCCCTTTTAGTAATTGTTTTCAGGCACTTTTGTTTCAGGAAGGAAGTGAAAGGATTTCATTGTTCCGACACAAAAACATTCAGTTCACCTACAATTGTTTTGTGGCAATGATTGAGAAGGGATGGGAGAAAACAGCCTATTCCTCCCCTTCCTGTTCTGCAAGAAAATAATACAAATACAGGTTGTGTGTGTTTGTATTCAAGCACTACTATAAATACAGGTAACGTCTACAGAATTGCATAGGCTTAGTGTGCATCTGAACTTTAAGATCCTCAAACTGATATTTTGAAAAAAGCATAACTGAGCGATTCATATAATTATACTCATTTAATTCTACAAAGACTAGGCTTAATTTAACATCTACTTCATGATTTTCCTGTTCATGACTTTCTGGCTGCTTTGGAGATGATACACTTGGGAGAAACTCAAAGCAAGGCAAACACAGGAGCAGGTGATACTTTTAACCAACCATGAAGAATATAAAACAAAAGGAAACAAAACAAAAACAGTTGTCCCACATTCATTAGTTTGACTTGGATCTTCTTTTCCAAACAGATTGTAGATGCTGACCTGTGCTGCTCTATGACGTTTCCATACTCGCAAGAGTTTTAGTGCCATGTCAGGAAACGCAACCAAAAGTTAATTTCTGACGATTTTACAGTTCTTTTGCCATGTGCTTTCAGTCTAGGGGGAGGTAAATAAAATTACTGCTTTTGTTGCTGTCCCCCTGATTTCTAAGCAGAAGCAGCCATCTCCTTTTAAGAGTTTATTGGACACTTTTATAAAATAGTTAAGAAAATGTATAACTATCTGTTAGAAATTAAAATGCAAGATGAAATGGTTAAAGAATGTATGATTAAGTGGGCACAAAACACAGGGCATAATAGGGAAAAATTGTCGAAAATGTATACAGATGTATCAAATGTGTGTTAGAAATGTGAAGCACATGTGGGAAGCTATTATCATATGTAGTGGTCATGTAGAGTAGCGAAACAGTATTGGAAAAGAGTACATGCTGTGTTGCAACAAATATTGCTTTGTAAGGTGCCATTAACCCCAGAACTGTTTCTCTTGAGTATGATACCTGATAACATAGATAAGACAAAGGAGTATATAGTTATATACATAGTCACTGCAGCCAGAATTCTTTATGCGAAAAACGGGAAAAGTCCGACGGTACCGAAACAAGAAGATCTTATAGAGAAGATACGGGAAACAGCAGAAATGGACATTTTAACAGAAGTAATGAAGGACTGTCCTTTACAAAAGGCAACTGAAAGATGGGACTTATTCTATAAATGGATAGAGTCAATAGACAACGTATGAAGAGCATACATTGAAATGAGAACTTAAATCTGGAAGGCAGAAAATAGTAAAAAGAGTAATTTGAAATTTCGATATGGCAATATGTATAGAATGGATATTAGTATGATATTGTTTCTCCTCTTCCCTCTGAACCTCAATTCCCTTTTTTCTTTTTCTCACCACTTGTTAAAAATAAAAATTAAAAAAAAGAGTTTATTGGACACTTTTAAGGATCAAGGTGACTTTTAATGAAAATAACAAAACTAGGACAAAATTACAGTAAAATGCTGCAATATCAAAAAGGCAGCTGAAAGCACTGTCAAGGCCAGTGCCGTATACTCATATAAAGGAAGCATTGTGATGGGATGGGTAGCGTTGGGCTGGGACTCAGGAAACCTGGGTTCAAGTCCTCACTCAGCCATGGAAATTCACAGGAGGTAGGGGTGTAGCTGGGAAAACTCTTCATTCAATATTTCATGTACCTTAAAAGCCCTGTTAGCATTTCCATAAGTCATATGTGACTTGACAACACATAAAATGTGAATCATTACATAAAATGATTCAAACAAGTAAAAGGAGCAATAGATCAACAGCATAAACACAGAAGCACTAAAATCCATTCAAAACTTTGAACACTCTGTCTTAACTAAAATTCGCTCAGAACAAAAGGGTTTTTAGGCCCAGTCTAGAGCCAGTACTGATGGGACTGTACATATGTCCCTCAAACAGGGGTTCCACAAATACAGGCTCACCACTATAAAGACAATGCCTTTAGTGCCTGCCGGTGTAATTTATTTTTAATGTAGGCCCCATGACAGACCTCTTTGGTTGGTTTTTAGGTGTAGGAAGAATCTGAAGTTGTACTTCAGATTATTTGGCCCCAAGCTATTTAGGATTTTACGTATCAACAGCACTTTAAAGAGTTCAAAGACCATACAGATAGCCAGCAAAACTGGTGCAATATTGGTTCATCTTCCTGTGATAATGAATGGTCATATGCATGGTTCTCAGGCTTTAATAACTAAAAATCATGTCCCACTAATCGGTATCTCAAAAAAACCTGGATACTACCATGGTAGAGACAGAAAGCCAATTTTTTCTGGGAAAGAGGTTTTTACATTTGCAGACATTCTGTAAACTTTATCATGAATTTAAAGCACATAACATTTCTGTAAACTTCAAAATTTTTAATTTATTTTTTTAATTGTCAGACATTTTCATGTATTTTTTTAAAAAGAATTTTTTTAAAAAAATACATTAAAAATGTCTGACAGCCCAGGTTTCAAGTACAATTCCGAGTGTGGGTTTTAACCTACAAAGCTCTAAACTGCTTGGGTCCAAGCTATCACAAGGACTATGTCTCCCTTTAGGAGCCTACCTAGGTTTTAAGATCATCAGGAGAGACATTTCTCTCAGTTCTGTCACCTTCACAAGTGCATTGGGTGGAGACACAGGAGAGGACCTTCTTTGTCATTGCCCCCAGACTCTGGAACTCCCTCCCATGGGAAGCCAGGCAGGCCCCATCTTCGCTGTCCTTCTGCAAGCAGACAATCAGGCAGGCTTCCCCTTAGAGACTGACTATCTGAGAGGAGGTTTAAATGTTGTGTCTTGATGCTTTGAACGTGTTTTGGTGTTGCTTTTGTCTGCCGTTTTGAGTGTGGTATTTGATTCTTTTTAAATAATTTGTAGATTTACTGGGGTTTTTTTCTATTTTAAACATTGTTTTAAATGATGCAAGCCACCTTGGGTCCTTCTTAAGGAAAAAGGTGGGATAAAAATATATTTAAAAAAAATAAACATTAAAAATAAATTAAAAGCTGCAGCAGTACAAACAAAACCAATAACTCTCTTGGTAGCTGAAATCTCTAATTAATTGTCAGTAATCATGAACACCCGATGGCTACATCCCACTGGTGGCATGTTGGACACGGGCTGAAACCAGCTGCCCTAGACAAGCATCGAGGTGGCTGCCTTCTGTACCAGTTGCAGATTCTAAGGCAACATTTCCAGGCAACCTCTTGTTAATCACTTGCTCTTGTAAAGCCCAGATGTAGCCAGCACTTGGGTGACAAGAGGCAAAACCTGCTGTCTGTCTAGATCACTGGTTCTTAACCTTGGGTTACTCAGGAGTTTTGGACTGCAACTCCCAGAAGCCTTCACCACCAGCTGTCTTGACTGGGGTTTCTGGGAGTTGCAGTTCAAAAACATCCAAGTAACAAAGGTTAAGAACCATTGGTCTAGATAGCAGTTGATATCCAAGACAGCTTTACTGACAGCATATAGCATCCATATGCCTCAGACATCACCAAATCCTTAGCACAGAAACTTTGATCCTTCCAAAGAGTGCAGCCCAAACCTGTGGTAGATCACAACCCTTTGTAGATCACAACCCTCTAGTTGATTTAAAATAATGGGTAGACTTCTGACAGTAAAACATCTTTCAAGACATTCAAAAATGCCTGCTTTCCACTGCCACAGACTATTGGGAAGACCACGAGCCACAGTTCGACACCACTGCTCTAGTTGATTTAAAATAATGGGTAGCCTTCTGACAGTAAAACATCTTTCAAGGAAATAGTTAATATTGTATATTAACTTAAGTAATTTTAATCTATGATAATAAAATATTACAAATAATGCTGACTATACTGACTGCAGTTTTCCTTTCCTTTCCTTTTCTTCATAGATCTGGGACATGAGTGATGATGAAACTCTCTGAAAGCCCAATTAATGAATGAAGTGGATGATGACCTACTTTCAGTGTACCAGCCATTAGACAAGTTAATGACTACTTGCTTAAGTCTGACTGCTGAAAATAAAAACATATGCAGTCCCTATTTGGATCAGGGTGGGACAGCAGGACAGACTCAAAGCAGTTCTGCCATGTGTGTTACTCCTCTTTTCATGGCATATCCTGTACTCACATACATACACACAAACATGTAAGACAGTTCAATATTTTCCTTATTTTGCAGCTTCTAAATATAACTTATATTTAAAATATATCTTAAGTAAACTTGCTTGCTTGCTTTTTGTTCCCTTTGAGTAATTGTAAGGAAATGTTCTGAATAGGTTGCAATCTTTTATCACTGTTTCTGAGTTGGACAATAAAAAGTTGGTCACAGTGAGAATTAAAAAAAACAAAGAAGGCCACATATTTACAGTATTAAAAAGATTGCATTAGATCCAGATCAATATCCATTAAAGACGTTTGGGGGAAATGGACTTTTGTGTCCTCTCCTTTTCCAGACAGCTGCCAGCATTTGGGGAAAATACTAATCCGAGGGTCAAAGGCTTTGCTGGTGGAATTTCTTGGATTGTTGAAGGCTGAGGTTGAGGAAAATTGTGGAGAAGCACCCAAAAGTAGGCTTTTGTCCACCTCCTTCTGTGGACAGTAAATCTGGACCCTCCCTTTATGAGAGGGATATTTCTCAAGCTCTTTTCTGATCAACTGAATTTTCTTTCTCCAGACAGCAACATATTTTTTAAAATATCATTTTTAAATGGAGATAGAATTCTAATTCTTTTGAAAGTCAATGATGATATTTATTTATTTAATTTCTATGCTCCCCCAAGTAATGAATAGAGATGGGGGTATTCGTATACAAATACCCCCGGACTTAACGAGGGTCCAGCCCCTGAGACCGGACTGTCCACTCACGCGTCCAGCAGCAGCAGCCTCGGTTAGCCTTCCAATCGCTCTGGAGCCCCGCTTTCTTTCTGCTCATCTAGCCAACTCCACGCAGGGGGAAGGAGGATGAGTCCCCCTGCCCAGGGGCCAGATCTTTGTTAAGTCCAGCTGTGCAGAGGTATTCGTAAACAAATAAGAATACCCCCCATCTCTAATATTGAATCCATACTACTCTGGGCAGTGTACAGACAACCAAAATCCCAGAAAACCCTCCCCAATTTAATTCCCATTAAAACATAATAATTAAAATGGCAATACAGTATGACCCCCTACATCTTCAGGATAAGTATCCACAATTTGACTTACCTGTCTGAAAATATTTAAAGTATTAAAAGGAAAAAAACTTAGAAATACCATATTTTTCCGTGTATAAGATGCCCCCATGTATAAGACGCCCCCACTTTTCTAACCCAAAATTAAGAAATCTAAGTGGGGCTTAGCAAGTGTAGGGGGAAAGTGATCAAAGCACTGCAGGATCCCTTTGATCCCTGCTTTCCCCTCCACTTGTTTTTCTCTCCTCAGCTTACTTCTGTGTATAAGACGACCCTTAGTTTTTAGTCTAAAGATTTTAGACAAAAGTATAGTCTTATACATGGAAAAATACGGTACATGTTTTCATGATATGTTTACCAGAACTGGCCACTAGACGGATCCAGTGGCCTCTATTAGGAAGTTGTGGCAATATATGGTGAAAATCCTTTTTTTTTCCTGGATTGTTTTCTTTTACCATGTTATGTATGGCGTTCACTATGATCTGTGGTGTTCAGCATCTGTGGAGGGTCTTAGAACCAATCCCTACTATATACCAACTGAAGTGCAGTAATCTACAGAAGCCTGAGGTTTAAATGTTAAAATTAACATTATTTGAGTGTAAGATGTCCTTAAAGGCTACCTTATGTAACTCTGTTTTGAGCAATTCCTGAATATTGAGAGCCTGACACATCTTGATGTCTAGTTATCAATCCAATGAATCTCACTTCAGGGCTGGAAGAGTTTTGGACAGTAAATGTAAGTGATGAATCACGTCCTCCCATCTGCTGGCAGTCAACCATCCATCACACTCCTTTCTGGAAATTGATTTCCAATTGATGACACTAGGTTTCCAACTGAGAAATTTGGTCTGTTATAAGCATTTCTATGTTTAGAAGAGATTTAATTCATCTTTATATGTATTTCTCCATCTCCATTTAATCAGCAATGCAAATTTATATTTTATTTGATCATCACACAAAAGTTTTCAGTCTGAAACAATCCAGCATTAATCCTGTATGCACAAAGTCCCTTCCCATGTAGTTTTTCTGAGACAGGAACATCTCTTGCACCCCATAATAAATTCATTTTGAAACCTGGAGAGTTTCAAAAACAGTTTTAAGTATCACAAGAGGGAATGCATTTGAAAGGGGGGAAGGGGGGGATCCACATACCTCATTCAGGTTCTTGCATGTGGTCAGGGCATTGTTTGTATCTCAGTTATAGTTTGCCAGATATATTTTTCTGCAAAGTTCTTCCTCCAGTAATTTTTTGGAGAACAAAAAAAAAAAGGATGGTATTAACACTTTTCAGTGTAGTAATGTAAAATAATTGAATAATTAGGAGATCTTTTAAATATTAGTGTTATTTCTCCTGATCGGTTCTTTAACACATAAAGAGTAAAACAGCAAATGAAAGACCAGTGTTAAGTGTCAACTAGAGTTAGACCCACTGAAATCATGGAATGTATCTTTGCTGTTACTGACGGCTCCCTTTCATTTTAATGTGTCTCTTTGAATTGGTACGCGCGGTGGTTTTAACTGCTTGTATTTACATTCTGCCAGGATTCTAGCTGGTTTGCTTAAGTCTCATGTAAGTTGGACTTACAAATCTTGAAGAGAGACGGAAAGTAGGGAGATAGTATAGAATGTTCTGGGTTCATAGTTTAATTGTAATGCTCCCTGAATCACAGCCTTACTTTGAGCCCCGTGGTTAAACTGCAGTACTGGAGTCAAACATCTGCTTACGCCCTGAGTTCCGATCCTAACAGGCTCAGGTAGGCAGCTCAAGGTTGATGGAGGCTTCTGTCCTTCCAAGGTGAGTAAAATGAGTACCCAGATCACTGGAGGAGCAAGTTGTTGGTTGCATAATTATCCACCCAGAGAGTGCTCTTGTGCTATGTATATAAAAACAACTGCTACTACTGTTTTGCTGTTTGTACTACTACGAAAACATGTTTATTTTACTATACATTTCATGTCAAGTTGTCACAGATGGAAATTAATTTCATGTTGTAACCTATTTTGTTCCTAATATAATCTGTACTTCAGTGCTATAATTGGCCACATTCTCCTTGCTGTTGAAATTAACCTAGCCTTTTTTTTTGGGGGGGAGGGTGCCAATAAAGCAGGCACAACACCTTGAAGCTGGATGTTTGCCACAGCAGAAAGAGGGGACACAATTCTTATTTCTGTGCAAGAGCAGTCTTTTAATTTAAACTGATGGAACAAGTGAATTGCATAATCGCCTTTAGGCATTCTTTACTGAGGAAACTCAGTTCTTCTCATGACGAACTAGAACTTGCACTGGGAAAAATTAGTAGTACTCTACAGCTTGCACTGAATCACCTGCATAGACGTCACTAGTAAATAGCAAAACAGGAAACGCTGTTTTGAAATCCTGCAGCCTTGATTAGCTGAGCGTCCAAAAAGACTGTGTGTCTCCTGAGGAATGTTCTCCAATGAACGTTTGCCTTGACACTTGGATTATCAAGTTGGTGTTTATCAATTTCCCTCCTGCCCATAGGACTTTAGCTGTATGTGGCATTTGAAGCACAGGGTAATATGGTGTTTTCTAGCTTAGCAATTCCAGTAACCTAGAGTTGTATAAGACTCTGCTTGCTTCCTGTACATATGCTTCCCAGATGTGTGCGCTGCACAGAAATACACCAATGTGACTTAGAAAACCTTCTGTTGTTTAACTTTATGGGTTTTTTTTCTCTTTCCTGACAAACTGGGATGGCTTGTTGGCTTCTAAAATGTTCCTTTTGTAAAATGTTTCAAGCACTTTAATTAAAGGGGACATAATGGAAGTTTTTACTCAAATAAATGCAAGGGGAATTAAAAGAACTTCCAAGCATTTTTTTTTTACACACTGCCATGTATACTTGGATAACAGGCTTTTGGCACAGACACCCGTCATCTGCTGTTCGAGTTCCATAATGGAGAAAGCTGAAACGTGAGCTTCAAGGAGGGAATGGTTGTGGGTAGATGCTAGACTCCTCTCCACCACTACCAGCACCTCAAATGGTTTCCCATGACAAAAAGCACAAAACCCTTCCTGAAAATGAGAAAACGTCATAATATTTGGACACTTCCCAACAGTATGAGAGAGATGCTTTGCTTTATTTGATACCATGGGTAAAATCATGTGCTCTTATCTTTTTTATACGGAGAGCTAATAAACCCCAAACATGGAGATTCAGTTGTACCCTACTGTTGGTCCATCTAGCCTAGTATGATGTTCTCTGACCAAGAATGTCTCTGTGGAGATGTCTTTCTTAGGCCTACCAACATTCTTTGTGGAGATTACGGGGCTGCACAATGCAGATGTCTGCCCTGCTGAAATACGCTACAATCTCACCCCTTCAGGAGGCAGCTCTGTACTTCCATCATAAACACAGTAGCAAGTTTGAGTTTTCCAGCAATATAACTTCTTAATATTTAGCATAAAATTATTCATACCTTGATACAGGCTTGTTTGTGAAAAACTATGTGAAGAGGGTTATAATGCATGAAAGCACTCTCAGAAATAAATGTTAAACTTTAAGGTGCTACAGTACTTCTGTTTTTAGTTTTGTTATATGTATTGAAACAGACTCACGTGGCTACTTATTTGAAAACTTGCACTAATCAGCCAACCACTTTAAAACTGATCTTTCTTGAAGAAGCTTCCTGGAGGAAAAGTGGGAAATGCCATACAGTGCTGCCTTGCTAAACGATGATAATCCGTTCCACTGAAATCGCTGTTTAGCGAAATTGTCTAGCAAACAGCATTTCCCCATTGGAATGCATTGAAACCTGTTTAATGCGTTCCAATGGAGAAGAATCGTCGTTGTCTAGCGAAGATTGGCCATAGGAAAGCCACTTTGCAAACCGCCGATCAGCTCTTTAAATCGCTGTCTTGCGAAGCTTAGGTCCCGAAAACACCTGTTTTGCGAGCGTGGAGGAAGCTGTCAAAATCGTCGTCTAGAGAAAATCAGTTTGTGAAGCAGGGGCCAAACATTGTCCAGCGAAATTCCCCCCTAGGAATCACTGTTTTGTGAATCGCTATAGTATTCGCAAAAAGTCAATGTCTAGCGAAAAAACTGTCATGCTGGGTAACTGTCTAGCGAGGCACCACTGTATAAGTAAAGACATTCCCATAAAATACATTTAAGAATTAACACTGGGTTGGGTCATGATCCTGGCCAGTGTAGCTACCAGTGTAGAAACTGTTCAATGGAACCAAATGGCCAATACTTGCAGCTTTGTGTCACCTTGAAGCCGGCGCTGCTATACCACCCTATCAGATGAACTAAAGACAGCACAGTCCTTTGGGAAGTCACTAATTCATAGGTTTGCCGTATGTTAAAGCAACTGAACTTCACATAACAATACAAAACACTGTATGAGCC